GATGATCTTTATATTTGTCATGATGATCTTTATATTTATCATGATGATCTTTATATTTGTCATGATGATCTTTATATTTATCATGATGATCTTTATATTTGTCATGATGATCTTTATATTTATCATGATGATCTTTATATTTGTCATGATGATCTTTATATTTGTCATGATGATCTTTATATTTATCATGATGATCTTTATATTTGTCATGATGATCTTTATATTTATCACTGATGTTATAGTTTTCTTTTATTTTTGTTGTAACGCAAAGCTGCACATAATAGGCAATGTGCCACGGGGATTGAACTATCAATTTTAGCAGTAAAAGCCCTGATTCTTTAATTTGAGCCAACATGGAGGAAGGATTTTAGATTTATTTCGAGTTGAAAACGTTTATTTGTATTCCAGTGACCACATATAATAATTGGGATAGCACAGAATCTTCAAGTAAAGAAACGAAAACACAGTATAGAATTTATACTTACAGACAAGATATAATTATTTTTAACTGAGTACAGCAGGACATTCTCTCTAGGACGATGATATAAGTTTAAATTTTAAATTTTAAGATACCATATTTCTACAAAGTGAAAAAAGTAGGTCCCCTTAATGTTTATTTACTTGGAATTAAGCACAAAGCTACACAAGGGGCTATCTGTACTGTGCATACCACGGGTATCGAAACCAGGTTTCGTTATAAGCCTCCAGACTCACCACTGTGCCACTTGGGGGGGGGGTGCAGGTGCCCATATAAAACAAATGTGAAACAAGCGTGACACAACTAGAGTCATAAAGTGTTTTTTTCTTCACTCAACTGTGAAATATTCATATTTCATCTACCCACGTTTTTATCTATTTATCAATACAGCGATTTCTTTCTTTGTTACTTCCAGTCAACAGTAAAGTTTGTTACTTCCAGTCAACAGTAAAGTTTTTTTTTTTTTTACTTCCAGTCAACAGTTAAGTTTGGAAATGTGAAAAGACTCATGATGTGATTAGTATTCTTGTATTTTGCATAAATCACGTTTTCTGATTCATTATAGAAATACGAAATGAACACTAGTATACACTGATATTAACTTTATAAATTTGATTGACTTAACTCAATCAATTCTCAGTTGTCCTGTGCCAAATATTAGAACTATTTTTACTAAAGAAGTACAAAGAAATACGTCTTGTGATAGACTGTTAAATACTTTTAAAAGGGTATGTTAAGAGAGTATGCTATAAAGATAGTTCAAAGTCTTCTGGTTTAACAACCATCAGATACTTTCTTTCCAGCGAAATCTGTAAGAAAAGCTTTGTTGGAATGGATATCATGCCGAGGCTATAAACAACAATTACTACATTTGTAAGAATACTTCCTTCCTCCACAGATAACAAAGCAGACTTGTTTGATAAAAATAATTAAGGATATATAAATACGATTTATTGATCAGTAATATTTCTAATTTGGAGCTACAATGAGGCCTTGTTTTCGCATAGCAGTATAATAGAAACAAAGTGTTTTTCAAGTGGTTACCGGCAATATAACATGATGTGTGTAGTTGGAATGTACAGACACTTCATTACCATGTATGATTCGGAACTTTTCTAACACAGAAGTAAGTATATGATCTGGTTTTACAATCTAATTTTGAATTTCTAGTTTTATTATCAAATATTTTCTTTGAACTTTTAGATAGACTTTGCCAAAACGAGAGATCATCAAGGAATTTCAGTAACTACAAATTTTTGAGTGAAGGCGCCTAGCTATTTAAATTTTACGTTTTATTTCAGGTTACGTGGAATTTTAGCCTTTTCCTCTTTAAAAAAAATCGTATTTAAGAAGAAGTTATTAAAACTTAAATATATTCATATTTAGGTTAAGACAGCTGTGTGGAGCTGAAGAGGGCACGTGATAGTTTTATGTTTGTTGGTTTTTGAATTTCGCGCAAAGCTACACGAGGGCTATCTGCACTAGCGTCTCTAATTTAGCAGTGTAAGACTAGAGGGAAGGCAGCTAGCTAGTCATCACCACCCACCGCCAACTCTTGGGCTACTCTTTTGCCAACGAATAGTGGGATTGACCGTCACATTATAACGCCCCCACTTTCAGCCGAAAGGGCGAGCATGTTTGGTGTGATGGGGATTCGAACCCGCGACCCTCAGATTGCGAGTCGAGTGCCGTAACCACCTGGCCATGCCGGGCCGATAGTTTTATAGACTTTGTACTAATATTTTGTTCCTAAAGTATGTTGTTGTTTTTTTTTCTTGTTAATTTGGCTAACATCTACGGTATGGTGTATTTTATACTACCTTAGGTCAAGGTTAGGTTAGATGAGGTCGTGTCGGGTTAGAGTTAAAAATGTTTATTTAGAACAGTTTCCAAAACTTAAGTTTTTGATCGCAATAATCACCGAAAAAAGATGCTGAACTGAATTAATAATTTCTCTACTGTGTATTGCACGCACACACACAAAACATTGTTGGTTGGTTTCTTTAAATGGCTTTCACAGAATGTTCTGCAATTGTCCTAAACCTTTTGCAAATTGAACCAACTCATAGTAAGTTCTCATAGCTAATGCTAAAACCCAGGTGGAAAACCTTTCCAAGAGTTTCTGTTAATTAAGCTATCGCTAAGTAAAATTACTTATTAATTGAAAGTAGTGAGAGAATGTATGTTAATTTTGATTTTTTTTTTTTTTTT